GTTCAAAAAATTAAGAATAAATAAATAAGTAAAAATAAAAGATAAAAAGACACGAATTGTAGACTTTCGATTTGAAAGCCACAGATTTCCTTATTTAAACTAACCCCCTTTTTACTGAGAAAGACAAAACTAAAACCTTATCTTCTTAGTGTAAACAAAAAAGTGAAGCAATTCAAGAGAGAATGCTTTCATTGACACTGAAAAAATGGCTGAACGTAAAAGTACCCACAGATACATCATCAGGGAGTAAGAATCGGTCGGTGGCTAACACACACACACACACACACACATACATACACGCACTAATTGACTCTTACATTTCCATTAACACATCTTTTAATTCGTTTGATAACCTTAAAGCCTTAACAACTTAAGGAATAAAGTTCAAAAACAGTAAGCGTTTTATTTTGAATATATTTTTTAAAAATCCTGTACTGAATGTACACACAACTCGAAAGAATTGAAGTCAATACACAGTGAAAGAAGAAAAAAGTTTTGGTGTCCCGCAAAAAAAGGTTGACAAATAAATCAAACATTGTAGTGTTTATCTTTAAAGTCAACAAAGTAAAATATATCCAGATCTTCATCTCGCTTCTCTATTGACGTCTTCTGTCTTTGCATTGACACAAGATTTTGAGAGTGTTACTCTCAACACGAACCCAGACTTCAATGGATGGTGCATGGCAGGGATTGTCATCACCGAGACTACAAGGAGACAAAAAAAAACAAAAAAAAACAAAAAAAAACCAGAGAGAAAAGTCGGAGAAAGAGCATCGTTCAAAAAAAATCGTGAAAGAAACATTTTGACTGAATAAATTTTAGTCACACAGAAATGACTAGAAGAAAAAAAGATGATTGTCATAAATAAAAGACAAGACACGATCTCTTTACAAAGATATACGTCTGTTGTTTCCAATTGAATGTTGGAAAACTACCAAAATCCTTTCTCTCTAATTATGTATAGGCTGATTATCTTCCAATCCGTAGTTTGAATTTGAGGCTTACATTATTTATAGAACATCGAAAGTTAGGGTCGTTTATTATTGATTCATTTATTATACTAAATTATATTTTATTTTTGGATATCAAATAATTGAAAATGTTTATGTAAATATTTGTCGTCATAGACCTAGATACATTTTCAAGGATTCATTTCGAAAAGAAAAACTAGTGTCTTGCATGCTGTATATCGATGGAGATAAAAATTAACAGTAATGGACTAATTTCTGATTCGGACAAAAGAATATAAATTCGTCAAATATTCTTATTATCATTTTCGGTTGGGAAGCGGAATGTATATTGCCATCTGAAGTCAGTTAATCCCCCCACCCAAAAGAAAATTAGTCACGTTTCTTTGGTTACTCTGTTAACGACACTGATTGGTAGAACCTGGGACGAACATTTAGGATAACATAGATTTTAAGTGCAATAATGCCAAGATTTGGAGGAATTCAAAAGAAGCGATTGGAAAATGAAATCCACGCACTCTGTGTTGAGATATTGACTTAGCAAACCAAATCTGTCGTAAGACTTACGGAAACAGAAGATTGTGTTACGCCGATGAAATGGTGTAAATGGATCGTAGAACATGGACTGAGAGAGATGGAGATATGACAAACATTACTAAAAGCTACAAAGGATAGGAAGTTGTGGAGAGCCATGATCGCCCACGTCCTGAAGGAACATGGCACATAGCAAACGAATATTGCCTTAATCCCTGTTCGAACATCTACCGCTAGCTTTATCAACAGATTTACGATACAATATTAATGAAATATTTTGAAAACGTGCCGCCTCAACTTGATAAAAAATCTTACAAAGGAAGAAAATTAAAAAAACAACAACAACAAAAAGCATGCTACAAGATGGGGTCTTGTACAGCAGCGTACAGAAGGTGGACAAAATGTGGGACGGTCCCGGGCATCCATATTGGGAGGGCATCCATATCGGGAGAACATGCAATCAAAGATTGAAATAAAAATTTAGTTTATATTAAATTTGAATAAAGTGTTTATTTCATGTTTCATCTGTTTTTACATATTTAAAATGTCTTGCTTTCTCACATTTCTCAGTATTAGGCCCTATATGTCCCCTACTCTTGCTTGAGTGTTAGGGGGCATACAATCAAGGAATTGGCCCCGAGTATCACCAAACATCATCAAGTGATCATCGAATTTACAGAAAACTATTGCAGTAATGTAGGCGTCCTCGAAATGTTTTTCAAAATGCAGTTTGGATAGTAAGAAACTTTTGTTCGAAATGGGATCATTATTAATTGTTATGGTGCTTTTCTAAGCGTAGCTTATATGTGGCACAAGGCTAAAAATATGGGGCACCCAGTGAGGATCGAACTCGCTACACTACTCAGTTGTAATCGTTTTAGCGAGACAAGACTGTTAAACGTTGAGGTGCCCATTCGTAATTGTTATGTCTAAAATTATCATAATCATAAATGAATTTGATATTTTATGGTCAAGGCACTAAACGGAGTTTTTTAATGAGAAATTACAAAAAAGCTCTTCTACTATGCAGTCGAATTTTATCAGGTACATAATGTACAATTGATAATTTGTTGTAGACGGAAGTTTTTCAAATAAACAAAATACAATTACCAACTATGAAAGAAAAAAACTAGTTATCATTTGTTATAATTGTTGCTAAAAGAGAATTTTTGTTGTCTTTTGTGTTTTATGATATGAAATAAAAATCTGATGAAAATGATTTGAAAAAAAAGAGTCAAAGATTGATGACTTAGAATCTTGCAGTAATTTTTTATCCGATATTAGATCAATAAAAGATCAATCGTCAGCGAATCAAACAATCATCAATCTATCAATCACTTGGCGTAGAGGCAAAGAAATAAAAACTTATAATAAAAAGTGATGACGCATCAAAATATTGGCAATCGAAATGGGAAAAAAGTCACTGAACCACTGACATTATTTTGATCAAATGTCTTTTTGGGAGACGAGAATGACAAGTGTGGTCAGTAAAGTTAATGATGGATCACCAGCCACACTGCACTTTGTCATTGAAAACAGTTTAATGAATAAAGCGAGACGAAGTTTCAAATGAATTTTAATAACACAAAGTAAATATAATATCAAAAGGATATCGACTACAAATATCCGAAAAGTATGGTAAAAATATATACTCACCCAATATATACTCACCCAACATGTTTATCACTATGTAATTGTGAATGCACTACCACCAATACTAAGATAAGTTTCCTTGGATATATATACTTGTTCCGACAGTTTACGTGTGCATAAATTGGCCCTGCTTTGAAGAAAATGGTGTCGAGCCTCTGGAGTCAGCCTTGCATCTCTGCAACAACAATGTCATCTGCGTGTATCTGCTTCCTACAAAACTTTGTTTGAGGCATCTAAGCAGATGATAATCTGAAAGACGTTAGTCAAGATTATGCGCTGGAGCCCGTCTTTTAGCCGTGTGTCCGGGGGGGGGGGAGGTTGTCATGCAGTAGGTTGACACCCTTACGTAAAACTTCCGCTTCGATGAATATATCTTTCGTCATCTGACCGTCTAGTGTTTAACTGTATCTGAGGGCGTTAAATGTTTGACTGTGATATGGTCAACGAGCTAAGTCATCTGTGGCATCACAGAAATCAATTGTCACCAATGTCTTTACTGATTGCTAAACTTTGGATTTGGAGAAGTGTCAATGACGATGGATGCTTCCATCAGCCACTATTTCCGGAGTAACGTGATCAACTCGTGACCATCTGCTTCATAAAGTCCCTATTAGCTCTATATACCGTTTTAAAGGTGAAAAGAAATGCCCATGAACTCGAAATTGCTTTGGAACACAATAAAATGATATTTTTGGTATTCGGACCACTCGGGGATAATTTTATGACTACCGCCTTCGGAAGATCAAGTTCATTAAGTTGGCATCGTTTACCGTTTGTTTTCTGTTGTTGATCACCGTCCACGTTCATCAAAAGCTCATCCTATAGATTCGTATGTTTCTTACTAAACGCATCCGTTTTCCTTTTCGTTATATGTCCTTTATACATATCAAAAAGTGAATTTCTCTTGGACTTTTCTCTTTGGTATGTAAAAGACTTATTGCATATTGTATCTCTGTGTTTATCAACTGTTTTACGGTGGTATTTATCGTTGTTTTTTAGGCCAAATGCGCATGCGCTAAATACACAAGACTTATTTGATGCCTGTAATTGATTTGTGTTCAGAACTTCCACGATGTTTTAATTCCAATCGATTCTGTACTGCACTTTTCGGACATTCTTCGCAATGTCAGAAGGACCCCCCCCACCAAAAAAAAAAAAAATAAAAATAAAAGCAGAATGCCTAATTTCAGCCCAGGTTGCGGAGGGCTGCGCTCTGTCGTTGCAAGTCCATTGTATGTTCAAGAGAAAGAGGCGTTTCAGAAAGTAAATACTGAAGGAACGAATATTTTTTTTATCGTGAGCCTCCCCAGATTAAGATCAATCTTATATCACATTTCACTCTCGTGGGGGGAGTGAATATACCTCTTTATAATTTCAAACATTAATGTTGTGCAGTAGATACAGACGACGTCATTTATTTTCTATATGACTAAAATTGTTGCAATCAATGTACAAAAAATTAGCAATAAAAATTATAAACTGTGTATATTGTATATTGGTCAAACTGATTTTAAAATTAGATTCTTAGAGTTTATTTTCAAAAGTTGCTTAAAAAATTATTTATGATTTTATTCATTTACTTCAAATTTCTTTAAAAGATTTTTGCAGAAATGTTATTCCATATGTTTTACAATTTAATGTGACCAATTAATCTCAAAAACAGTGAAAGAAAATCATTTAACGCCAAAGTCCAGTTTGGCTAATTTTTTTTTTATTTAATCACAAGTGAAGTATTTTCCTGATGGAGCTCATTACGATAGAGAAGGTATTTTTCTTTGAATTATTTATTTATTTTCTTTTTAATTATCAAATCCAAAAGGCTTTTGTCGTTAAAGTTGTTCTGACGATTTTGAAGATTTTAGAAAGAAAAGAGATCCCACCATCTAAAAAAAAAAAAAAAAAAAAAATTATAACTTCTTTAAACATTGCTCTTCTAACGAATTTTACTACCAGACTTTTCAGCTTTTTGAAAACAGAATAATAAAGAAAGCGAAGCGGCTAGAGATTAAAATTTCATTCACAAATGAAACTACATATCAGCTTCTCTAAGTCAATATGTTTGTATTTCCATTATACTTTATGTATACAGTGAATTTCTATAAACATTTGAAATAAGATTGTTCATTGTGAAAAGTTATATCTTTACAAAAATCAACTTACGCACACCTTTACATAAAAGGGAACTTAGTGTAAAAATGTAAATAAATTGCCCTTTTTAATTTTGCCAGAATTATTAAAAATTTATTGACTAAATTAATTGTCTATAAACACATTACCAACATCGATATTAAACGTTTCGGTTCGAAAACGTTCGTGAACAGAAAATAGTGAAAACTTATTTTTACTTCGTTTTGAAATACAAGAAAACATCTATATAAAATTAACAATATTTCTTCTCGTTCATATTTAAAATTCTGCGTCCCAATTAGATTGGTGATAGTGTCTCTTTAGTCTTTTTATCCATCTGTCGCATGATCATCTCTCCCGCGTTTGGATGATCGTCTAAAATGAAAACGTGATGGATATGGGCGCCGTCGAGCTTGAACGCAGTAATTTCGGCCCGTGCGTATTCTATCCATCATAGTTGCCAACCACCACCCAGTATGTTGGCAATTGGAAGTCGGACCCATATGGCGACCCTTCTTCCCATCGTAGTACGACCCCGGCACAATATGGACGACCTTGATATGTTCTGTCCAATTTCAAGTGGTCGGCGCGTCTCCGACAAGTGTAAACGCTCGCAGAATGTCACCGTTGCCTCTGGGATCGTCTGCTAAACGAACGCCGTGTTTTTCGCGCACCGCCTTCCGTGTCTGGCCTTGAAATACCATGTCTTGAACCCTCCCACCCCCAACAAGTTTGGGGCTTTAAAAAAAAATTAACTGATCCTTACAATTTATACGAGGGTTACTTAATTGCGGTCTGCGGCCCTTCAAAGTCGAGATACTTGATGGCCAAAAAAATAAAAAATGTTTATTTGTAATTTATAATACTGAGATGCGGTTTCCGTTCTCGAAATGATTTAACGTGGGAACGCGCGGCAAAAGCAGCGTTTTTCAAAAGAGTAACACAAAATATTTTTGTAATTATGTATTTGGTGAAAAATGGTAAAGGAATAATAATAATAATGATAATAATTTGATTTGAATGTTGGATTATTTTCTTTTTTCCAAAACGAAGAAAAAATTCGTAAGAAATTAGAATTAGTTCAATATTTGTAGCTTAGCAGTATGGCGACAATCATGATAAATGTATTTTTGCAAAGTTTCTGTAAACAAAATGCAGATTTTTATTATCTAAATAATTCGTAGACATCTTTCTTTAGTTTCCGTTTTTACTGCTTCGATCTTCGATTTTCCTTTATTTATTTTTTTGAGAAAAATTAATTCATAAATATTTGTTTGCGAAAATTATAAACAGAAGATAATTTCTTTTTTTTACTGTGCGGTTCATTTTAAACTTTTTCATGATGAATGAAAAATCATTAGTGTTACTGTTAATTAAAGATCTATTTTGAATTTCTGTTTACTTTGTAGTAAAACTGCGTATTTCTTCTCCCTGGAGTCTTTTGTCAGTGTTATGAGTAATGGTTGGAAAAGAATTAAGAAAAAAAAAATCCCTGATTTTAAAGACAAGCAGGAAACCATTTATATACAAGATTGGCTCAACAAAATCTTCCTCATTCATATTATTTTTCTCCTATAATTTGTTAATTTGCTCCTTTAAGACAAGAGTTAGTCAAGTTTCTCTGAGAAAAAATACATAAAATTAAACGGCTATAAAATTGATGGCTTTAAACAAATTTTCATAATTAAATTTATATTTAATTACATTATTTTTAATTAAATAACTGTCTATAAAACGAAGAAGGTTTATTTATTCAAATGACAAGGTGGGTAAAAAAATTTAGAATGTTCAGAAAGTTTTAGACAAAAGATTTCGATAAAAACAGCGATGTAAATTAAAATGAAAATATATTTTTTGTTAAATTGAAAATAAAACAGTAATGAAAATAAGTCACAAAACAAAAGTTTGAATGAATTTCAATTCGTTCAAGATTTAAATAATATTCGGGGAAATATATTTTTATGGAATTTAAAAGCATTGACATAACTGTTAAGAAGTGTAGCGAACAATCTGTTTGATTTTTAATTTGTGCAGTAAAATATTAAAAAGACAATGTAATTGTGGAAACTATTTTTTTAAATTTTCCAGTGAAATTTGAGAAAAGATTAAAAGCGAGAATTAAGCGAAAAGAAAACTGGAAAATATAGAGAAATTAAATTTTCATTTTTGCTATGAAAACAGTAAAAAAGATAAGTCGAAATTCTCTATATGGGATCCGTTTAAAATTTTTTAGTTTTTTTACCCTTTGAAATGAACTCTTCGAAATCTCTAAAAATTTGTTATTCGAAGCTAAAATGAAAATCCATAACAATTAAAACTTTGAATCAAGCTGAGAGTTACCACCACTCTATGGGCCAAATAAAGTACTAAAACAACTTAATAACTAATTAACTGCCATAAATTATTAAATAATCTTGAACTGAACTTTTATTTTTTTAACGTTCATCTGCCGAAGAAATTGTTTTGCGGTCATAGGTTATGAAAAAGCAATTTGAAGGGACGTTAGAAAAGAATCTTTTCAATGTGATGAAAGTGTGAAAGGAATAAGCACTTAATCCGATCCTAATCTCACTCTGATAATCCGATTCTATTCTAAACGGTTCAACAGATTAAATATTTGAGGAATTCTTGAGTTTAATTCTCAATTTTAGAAAGAAAATTACTAGATTACTATTCAGTCTTCATTAAAAAACAATTTAATTTTATGACAACTTACTGCGAATTTAAATCCTTAGTTTGTTTTTACTAGAGATTATCACCGATTTTATTTTCAGAAACAAACAAAAAACAACATTGAAAAATAAAGTATTTCTTCAGCACATTAGAACAAATTTTAAACATGCTGATTTGAAATTAAACAAACAAAAAAGGTTTTTTTTTTTTTTTTTACTACGGGGTGCGTTAAGTTTTGTTGAAGATCCTGTGGACTAGATTTCTAAAAAAAATTGACGCTAAAATCAAATTAATAAAGTAAAATAAACCGTGAGTAAAGATGAACCTATTTTTTTTTCTTCGACACAACAAGATTCACAAAGAGAAACAACCACATGTGACGGAAAGGGAGAGGACATTTTCTTTTCCAGAACTTTTCTACAATGTGTGTCAAATAGAATTCTAGGTGACAAGGGAATTTATTTTCATGTGACTTGTTTAAGGTACTACCAAATCACAACCCCATACCAATCACTTCACACTGATAGTTGTCGAATTTAATCGCTATCCTAAAAACGTATAATCACTAATTTAAGCTTAGTCTGGCACAAGGCCACGATAATAAAACGCCCACGGAGGATCGAATTTTTAGTACGGCAGATGTTTTATTACTGCTATTTCGAGTTAAAATCGCCTAATTTTGTATTTGACACCTAGGTGGCAAATTAATGATTATCTACCGTTACGAAAATGTGATTGACGCGTTTCGTTCTTTAAGACTTCATCAAACTAAAAAAAAAGGGGATGTTTAAGTTTTGATGAAAGAATACATGTGCATGAGAGGGGATGCTGACATTTTGAACTTTTAAATTAATTTATTTTTCTAATATGTGATTGGATATTTAGTCTAACCAATTTCATTTAGTTTTTTTTTCTTATTATTTATTTTAATACTTTTCTATTTGTCATTGTTAAGTATACCAAGTTGTGATAGAAAAAAAAATCTCAAGAAAGGTGAAATGTTGTAAGAACCTGGACGCAGATTTACAGTAGATGATCTAGCAATTAAAGCACTTTCTATACACGTTCGTCTTCGCAAATTGCTTTCCATCTTCTTAATCAATGTAACATTTTTAAATCGAAATTATGGTACACAGTGAGGAACTAAATTCATTGAGTGTGTTGTTTTGTAAAAAAATCCATTTTGTGTTTTCTGCCATGTCTACCGTTCCAAAATAGAATTGTTTGTGTAATTTAGAAGTTTTAGGAAAATCTATTATTTTAAAAAAGATATCTGTTAAACAGTAAGCTCGCTTTGCTTGCTTCTTTCATTCAGTTACAGTGGTTTACAGTCGACAGTTGTTTTCGTTCTTTGGATTTACAAAAACGTTTTTCCCCATGCGACAGGTGTAAAAAAAAAAAAAAAGGTTAGGAATATTAGAAAATTTGGATAAATTCAGTAATTTTCATCCTAAGTTCAAAGTGTTAAGTTCATTAGAGAATTTGTCTGTTTAGTTTTTACATAAAATAAAATAAAAAATCTTTTATTTTCGGCATTAACTTTATTGAAAATGTTTACCATTTTATTTAATTTTATTTTAAAAAATAATTCCAATCTACCAGTAGAAATTTTCTTTCTTTCGAAAAAGAACTATTTTAGGTGCCTTTTGCAGACTTACGGGGAAATTGAAGATTTTTCATTAAGAAAATTCTGTAAAAACAACAACACATTTATTTATAATATTTATAATAAAATTATATCAATCAGGTGTATAACGAGGTCTGAAATATTAGAAAATATGGTTTTAATTGTAAAATATTATTTTTAAGTTGATTTTGGTTTGGCGCAACTGTAAACTAGAAAATTATGTGAAGAAACCGATAAAAAATATCGTGTTTTTTCTTTTTCATGTTTCTTATTTTAATGGTAAAATTTTGTCCGAAAAATCTGCTACTTGACCATTTTTAGTTAACATGAAATTCTTCTGTTAGATAAAGAGAAATAAATCAAATTTGACTTCTAATAAATATTTATGAGTATATAAATAAGAAAAGGCATTATTTGAATTTTCCCAAAGATTATTAATGATGTCGCGTTATTGATTTTTTTTTTTTACTGGGTGTTCCACGTGTATGGCATTGGCTGGCGGGTTCTGAAGAATTTTAAGAAACCAGGAAGAAAATAACAAAAATCAGAAAAAAGAATTTGGTAAAAGTGGAGATAAACACTTGAAAAGAAAATTGTAAAGACAAATAATTTTTATTAATTCGAAGAGTCTATGAAGAAAAGGAAAATCACCCATATTCTACAATACTTTTGGATTTGAAGAGAATATCTCTTGTCTAAACAAAATATTTGAAAATATTGATCGAATGAATATCGATTAATCAATGTAAATTACAAAGATAGGTACTGCAAAGCAAGCAATAATCTTGGTTAGCAAGCCTAAACTGTGTACAGAATTCGATCTTCCCTGGGTACCCTACACTTGTGGCCTTATGCCAGACTATGTTGTTGTTGTGTTGTGTTTACTAACTGCCTGGGGCCTACTTAATGAGTATTTACACTTCCTAATAATACTCTTGCTTTTTAGCTGACGATACTCGTTAAAAAAAAACAGGATTTTGAATGGTGATCTTTTGGATCTCCTCATTTGGAAAACTGGCGCAAGACAATCTTCTCATTCCTCAGTCTCCCTCATTTGACATGTTAAATTATTTTTTTAGTATGAAAAGAAAAAAAAGTGGGAGGTTTCTATACCTTTTTAGCAACTGACCGTTTCAGTGTTGTTGAATGAATGCCAAGATTTTCCCAGGCGATTTTGGCTTCCGAATTGTTCCAATTGGCCCTTTTCGAATGACGTCATAGTCTGTGGGCGGGCGAAGAAATGTAGAACGTGTCACGCAGTGAAGCAGCAGCAGCAGCAGCCGCCGCCAACTAGATAGGGAGAAAGATGGGATAAAAATCAGCTTCGTATGGAAAGGACCGCATCACAATTCTTTTGGTATTCACTGGAGCTAAAACAAGATAGAGTGGCAGTAGTAGTAGTAGTAGTCGTTACTTTGCATTCTTTTTACCTGCACACACCTGTCATTTAATGGATTGTTTTTGAGATTTACCGACAATGGAACTCAAGAAGAATTAAGACAGGTTTTATCATTTCCGTTCAAGATCGTAAATGTTTTGATAAAAAAAAAAAACAACAAAAAAACCAAAACAAAAACAAACAAAACAGAAAAGATAAGAAGACGTAACTGCCAGGTATTTGCAAAATGGTATCAGAAACCATCCCACACCATTCGGGAGACGTCAACAGATCTTAATTTAAATGAATCTAAATAAGGAAATCAAGTGATATTTTTAGGAACATTTACAACTTTTAAAACTGGTTGCTAAAAATTTTTAAGATTAAAAATAATTTGTAATCAAAGGAAAAAACCGTAATCAGATTTCGAGTTCTTAGTTTGAAATTTTTTTCCAACATTTTTTTGTTCTTGATTTTTTGATAACGAAGAAGAATTGCTTTTCTTGGATTTCTGTCTTTATTTTCATTTGCCATCACCTTTTTGTTCACGTGTTGCAAAGGAGGAATTACCATTCCGGCGAAACTACAACAACAGTCTGATGCATTTCTCACAAAATGACATCCACAAAAGAAGAAGAATTTATAAAACAGAATCTGGGTTGAATGTCGACAAAATATCAAAGGAAGAATTTACGAAAGAAAAAGATTTGTTGTAATTAATTTGACCTTGAAAAATACCGAATTTAAATTACCTGTAAACCCACGCCTAGCCCCAAACTCCCGACATTCACACACATCCGTTCATTAATATATATATAAATGACCACTAGAATTCTTTATTGAAATTTAATATATTCAAATACATATAGATATATACGTAAGTGTGCGTGTATATGTATGTATGTATATGTGTGTGCGTGTGTATGTGTGTGTACAAAAGATAAAACTCTTAATTAGTGAAAGAAAGCTTCCATCCAACACAACTGTGTCTTTTTTTTAGTATTTTCATCACCGAGAAATATTTCTATTAATGTAAATAAACATTCAACAAAGAGGAAAAAGAATTCTAGAAAAAAGTCTTTTATTAGTTTCACTTTCATTTCTATTCTTATCGTCTAATGAAGAAAATGGATTTGGTTAGAAAGAAATTCCTTAAAAATAAAACTAACTTTGCACGCTGCATATTATTTCATGTTTGAAATTCAGCGTTCCATTCAATCCAATCAAATTGCACACTAATGCAACTTAATTTTGTACATATATAATACGGTATAAAACTCTGGTAATCTAAAGGGAAAAATCTCTTCAAAATTATTTTTTTTTAATATCAAATTAAACTCTAGAAAAATCGATTTATTTTTATGGTTTTTTTTGGGTTTTTTTTTTATCTAATTTAAGTTTCTTAATAGAAAACTATTTCGTTGTGTTTGGCTAACTCACCGATTATCGCTATTTTCCCGTTCAATTCGACCTTTCGCGAGGCGACGGCGGTGGAGGAGTTGGAAAACGAGGAAGTCACGTGGTGGAATTCTCATCACACGAACCATTTCCTCGCAAACCCTTACCACTCTTATTACGACCAACAACAGCACCATCAATATACACAACAGATCGAGTCCCCTCACACATCAACTGTAGGGACGCAGCGGACTTCCGAGATGAGTCTTAGCGTGACCGGATACTCACAGGGCTACCCGCACCCGGGACCTATGGTGCACGATTTTTATCAATATCCACCTGAACCAACGCCACATCATTATTTCCCTAACTGGATGCTCAGCGGTGGTGGGGCTGCAGCAGCCGGTATTGGTGGAGCGGATTCTTACCTACCCAGCGGGTCTCCAGGGACAGATTTCCACACATTCAACTCGTATGACCATTTGCAACATGTGGGACCATTGCGTGTCGTCAAACGGCGCGTCACAGCCAACAAAAAAGAGAGACGACGAACGCAGAGCATCAATGCAGCGTTCGCTCAACTGCGGGGTTGCATCCCGAATGTCCCGTCCGACACGAAACTTTCTAAAATAAAAACTTTACGATTAGCTACTAGTTACATTGCCTACCTCATGGACGTTCTATCGAAAGATGACCCTTCCTTTATGGACACGGCGGAGTTTAAAGCAGAAGTAACAAAGAAACTTGATAGTCGAGAGGAGAAAAAACGCAAGGAGATTGTAAGTGTATCCAATTTTTATTAATTTTATTTTGCGTTGAATCATTTCTTTTCGTTTCAAAGTTTTAAAAAGTGTTCTTTCTCGTCACTTTAGCGTCTTTTCCTTGCAAGTAAAGCGTCATTTTTGTATGAGAAGACTTGAATTTAAAACGCAAGATTCTCAATGGCCAATTGAGAGCAAAGTAAACACACAAAAAATCTTTCTTGCTTTCATTCTCAAACTTTTTTTCTTTCTCTCTTCGTATCAACAAGGTTTGTCTATGGATTTGAAAAGCAGAATAATTGTGTGGTTATTTTACTTTATTCATTATTACCGACGTTAAATACAAGAGTTTATGTGCACCATCAAAAATCTGGCTGACCAGAACCTGGCAGCTGATCTCTCTTCTGGCCTATCCCTGGTAGCTCAATGGGGGAAGCCGCAAGACTGACTTCAAAAATCCAATACGTCTGAAACCAAAAAAAATAACATTCCGCCATCACCAAGCAGACCCTAAAATTTGTGGAAAAGACTCCCGGCAGGATGTCGCCCTGATCACTACAATAATTTTAACCTCTTTAAGTCTAGGGTTAACAACTGTTATCTTTTCTGCATAGCCTCAAAAACTGTATTAATTGTCTTCTCTTATGCTCATACAACATCATACAGTAAACCTCTACCATGAGTGACTCTTGGGCCTTGTATTGGCTGAACATAAAAGAGTCATTTGTAGTCTTAGCTCAGGCGAGGCACTAATAAACTGATGTCCACTTCTTTTTCCTTGTAATTTATATATTAATCTAGAAAATGAAAATCGATTTTATTTATAGTAAATAACTCTTCTGTAAGCTAAGCATAATATTTTAGCGAAATCCATTGCTATCCACAACACTTATTCGGTAAATAAAATATCAAAATGACGAGAAATTTACACTTGAACAACATTTAGTGCAAACCCAGATGAATTTAATTGCAAAAAAAAAAAAAAAATGCATCGGAATAATATTTATTTATTTATTTATTTATTTTTGTTTCTCAAGGGCGTTTGTCTCTTTCAGGGGAGATATGTGATCTTTCCAATTTGAGCCAAAGATCTGATTAAAATGTATATTATATTATATATGCTCAGAGATCAAAAACTGTAAAAGCATCGAACTACTGGTTACTTACATTGAGTTTTGTTCGAGTCTCAGGCGGGCTTACTTATTGTTTGTCGTTACTATCATATTTTGTATATGGGTGACAAACCGTGACATTAACTCGCTTTTCTATTGGAAGAGAAATATTGAGTGATAATCTTCATACAAGTAACAAAACAATGTCTTCCCCATTCGTTATATAATTCACTTTTGTTTCCTTAGAAATGTTATATTGTGACGGGCTTACAGAAAGATAAAAAAAGCAATTTATTCAATGTTTATAGAGCAAACTACGTAAAATAATGGTGAATGTGCTGATAAATAAAAATGAAAATTCTTAAATTAATGTTTTCTTTAAATTGGAAAGCTAGTAGCAGTTGTTTCGTTTTTATAACAAAAATATAAATAAAACAAACTGAAAATATCGTGACATTAAGTACCATTTTTTTTCAGTTCCAATATAAATGCATTTGATCCCAAAGATGATACTGTATGCTTTTAAGAGAAGAAGAATGTAGTGTCAACTGGTTTTTTGTGATTGAATTGGCGATTTTATAAATTGACAAATTTGCACAAAAAATATCAATTATAGCTGAATAAATAAAGACAATTTTTAGTTTTAGAGGAAATCATAGTGAGTTCATTTTTTAAATCTACCAATTGAATTACTTTCAACAAAATTATAAATTGAATTAAATAAAGTTAGAATTCTCCCCCTCCCACCCCACTATGAAAATACTTTATTATTTACATTGAATTGAAAATAAGTTCTTTGTGGGGATTATTTATCAATTGAAGAATCTCTCTCACTCTCTACAAACTCTATTCTGTCAACGAGATTTAAATCAATGTTTCGCAATAAACTGTAAAGTAGGGCGTTCTCTGACTATTGTAATGTTTTGAAAGTAAATATTTAGAGAGTTTACTCTATTATAACTGAAAATGGTGTGAAAAGATTGTATTGTACCAACTTCTAAGATGGAATGCTTATTTAACTTGAAAAATCAGTATTCAAAAACAAAAAAGCTTTTACCTGGGCTCGAACTCCAATTAGTGATATCGATACCATTATCCACAAATAGCTGTTCAGCAAAGATAAAAAAAAAATCAATGAAGATTTGTGCAGATACCGTTGACTTGAGGTAGCAAAATCTTCATTTTTATTATATTATTCTAAAAATAATTTCAAAACAATTTTCCATTTTGCTTTTTTTGTTGAAGTAGGGTTTTATTTTGGAAATTTGAGTTTGTTTCATTTCTGCTGATCTGGCATACATTTTTTACATTTTGATATTGAACATTGCTTGCAGTTTCAAGAAATAATCAATAAAATAAATGTGTTTGCAAAATTCTTGGTAATAATAATAATAATAATAGAGTAAGTGATATTTTGTAAGCAAAATAAAAGGTTTACAAGGATTATTTCAAAGGTGAGGTTTGATTAGCAAAAGATCGCTATCCAGTGGATAATTCTATTTGGAATAAATCGGAAATTCCCCAAATTCCAAACAATACGGATCTCTAGATGGGATCCATTATTATATTTTCTCAAAAAACCTCACAGCACATATGCACGGCCAGGTAAATAAACGTAGTTTTAAAAATACTCTAAAAACCTTAATATCAAGCACATAAATAATCTGAAACACTAAGTAGATTTAAAATACATGTATATTGTCGTATTTTGACTTGACAGAGCTGACATTTGTTGCATGTTTAATATTCTCCTAAAATATATTCAAATTCTGATTGTTTAAATATATCACCGTCCTTTTGCAGTGCTTGATGGTATTTGAGAACTTCCTTCTTTTCAAAAAGTAACTTAAAAATCTGCCAGATCTTTATATGAAGATAAAGTATCTCAGTCTTTACCTAGACACCTTAAACTATCTGTTCTATAATATATAAATGTTACTATATATATATATATATATATATATATATATATATATATATATATATATATAGGGCAGATATGTAGAAAAAATAGGAAAAAGAACATGTTAGGTAAATAATCCAGAGTTCTTTAGTATTTTTGTTTTATTTTAAAAAAAACAGTGCTCCATACAGAAGTAGAGCTTAATTTATAATTATTTTTTTTAAAATATGATTCCTTCGCTACATATGAGTTCTCATGTTTCAAAAATGAGAGCCGAAATTTTCGCTTGAGGATGAAACAGGGCTTGATACTTTAATTCAATTTAATTTTATTGAGGTTTTCGGCTCTCATTTTTGAAAAACATGAGAACTCTTATGTCGCGAAGGAATCATATTTTTAAAAAAATAATTATAATATATATATATATATATATATATATATATATATATATATCGATCACACATCTTGTTCATAAAATGAAATATTTACTAATTTAGTTTTAATTTCTCTGTATTTCTTTTTTTCTCTCAATTATATAATTTCCATTTTGATTCCTTTTTCTTTATTTCTTTCTAAGTTCTCAACTTGACTGGTGCCACCATTTCGAACCCACACAAAAACTGTTTGCTACAACTCGTGTTAAATAAAATCCCTAATTATTTAATGGTGAATAGAAGAATGTTTTTACTTAGTTTATTATTCAGGAATTATTGATCAATAACAAAATGCAGGGCAACATAAAGTTTTTGATTGTTCATCAGTACAATGCAATTACAAACATATTTAAACATTGATCCATACATACGATAGGATGCTGAAAAGTTCTTGATCCAACCCACTTCCCAAAATTTGACCAAATATCAGAATACTAAATGGGGTGCGTCTTCTTGGTCGTGACGAAAACTTTTTAGCACTCCTCGTGTAACATTTTTCGTAGACCTCACAGATACTACACCGATCCACCTAATGCTGTCGGTTTTGATGGGTACTATGCTAGTACTATTATGAATATTACATGGATTGTACTAGGATTCAAAATATTAAACTAAACATTATCTTAGTCTATTTTTAACATTTTTTTTTATTTTTACGAATAGAATTTTTAGTTTTTTTTATAATTTCGAAGCATTTATTGGCCGCTAAATTCCTTAGTCGCAGACGGCAATATATTTAAAACTGAACAACTCAGAAAAAGTTGTAAGAAGAATAAATAACAAAAGTAATAAATAAGTAATAATTTAAGCAATTAGACGAGATGGGTAATGTCATTTCAAATTAGCTTTTCTTCAAGAAAAATATTCACTAAAAGTTAAGTCGTACATCAAACGATGCTTAAAAATTGTAACGTGGATAATTCTTAATCTTAATCAATCTCAAAAGAATTTAACTGCAGCATGCTTTTTGATGTTTTCAATGAGATGTAAATCTTTTCAACTACTTTTTTTTCATAAATTAAAGCCTGTATACCACATAAAAAATAACTTATTCACTTTACAAATCAACTTTTCAAGCAAAAATTAAGCGATAATAATCATTTCAATAAAAAAGAAATAATTTGATCTATCAATAAAACAAAATTTCTGTTGTATGCTAAAAATGTTTAGTTTCTTCGGAAATCAAAATATGTTTATTTTTAAAAAGATCAACCGATTATTTAACTGATTTAAAATAAATTAATTTGTTAAAATAAATAATGAACTTCTAAAAACCCAGTTGGATTTATTTTACTAAGTTTTTTAATTGTAATTAACATTTTATACATATTTTAATGGATTTTATTAATTTTATTTTAAAATTTTTTAAATAAAATGATTTTCAAAAATAAAATGTCGCTTTTTAATACGAAACACATTTTGTCATTCACTTTTTTAAAAATATTATAGAAAAAATAAAGAGAGAATTATTATTTATGAAATTTTATCGTAGGTCAGTTAAAGACATTATCATTTTTTCTTGTCGAGTGGATCCATAATAATTGCGTTAATACAGGTGTAAAAAGATTACCTTTTTTAAGTAATTGCACGCATAAAAATGAAAACACTTTTTGCAAATGAAATATTTTCCATGAATCAAATATTATAGTCAAAATTGAATGTCGACTATGAACATTTTTATATTCAAATTGAAATATATATCTAAAGTAAAAATATTTACAATTTTCTCAAGAAAACAGAGACAAAACAACATTAAAAAAAATATAAGGTTGAAAGATTCTGTCAATTTAAATTTCTTGCTTTGAAATTATTTAGAATATTTAAAAAATATTTAAATTCATTACTTATAAAAATGGGTGAAACAAATTCTGAAATTTAAATAAAACAAAAGCAAATTATTAACGGTTTTACTTTTTACTAAAACTGGAAAGAATATTATTTGATAAAAATCGCTTAAGGGGATTTTTACTAAAACATGAGAAACTAGAATTATTTATGTTCTCTTAATTTTTGTCGATTTTATTTTCTTATCCTATGTTTTCTTTTCATATTTTGGATATTTAACAACAACAATGAAGAAACATCCTGATCGAGTTGCATTTTTAAAATAAAATTTTCTGAAATTATGATTAAATTTCTTTTTATAAAATAAAGAAGTAAACTTTATTGTTATAATTAAAAACAGAACAGTAAATACATAAATGGATTCTTTTATTCACATTTTCGGTTGCGGATTATAATTTATTTTTAAATTATAAAGTTAAAGTTTCGAATTGAAAAACGAATGATTAAAATTAAAATAAATCCAACTAGAAAATTATAATTTTCTGTCTTGAAAAATAAATTAATTTAAATGAGACTTGGAGGTGGGAATACAAAGAAAGGACAAAAAAAGAAAACAAAACAATTATTTTCATTTTTATATGAACTAATTGAGAACATTTTAAAACTTACTTTTGTAACCTGGGGTACGCAATATAGCGCGATCATTGAAATTGCAATTGACAATCGATTCTTTATTTAGAAATACAACCACTTGCAAGCCTCTAGTTCTGAATTTTATTTATTCGTTTAAAAAAGATATAAAAGAAAAACAATTTCATTTATAATTTCTCATAAGTACATTTGAAATTATTTTTAAATATAGAGAAAATTATAAAACAAGCATTTAAAAAATCCATATCTTTTAAAATTTAATTTTAAAATTTAATTTAATTTTAAAATTTCTATAAATACATAAAAATAATGCATTTTATTTAAAAAACTTTCATTTAAAATTTAAATAAAAGTTTTTTTTATAAATAAAATGCATTATTTTTATGTATGTATAGAAACTCCTTATGTAGCGTTACAACATGAAAAAAAGAACAAACGAAATTGTAGAAATTTGAAATTTTTAAAAAAGTGTAATTTTATGACGTAATTTCGACTTTTCATGGGTGTGTGTTGTAAAAGATTTGAAAATATTTAATGAAATTCTTCTGTATTCATTTATTACAGCGTTTGTATTGACGGATAAACTATTTTCTCCAAATATGAGATTTAAAAATAATTTAAAATATTTTCATTGTGGAAAGAAAAAATCCTAACGAGAAAATTAAAAAATGCTGAAAATTATTTGAATTTGACAAGATTAAAGAGTAATAAATTTCTTTTATAGAAGAAATTTTTGAATGAAATAATTTTAAGCGATTATCTTCCACAAAACTCAGAATCATTTGATATTTAAAGAGAACTGTAAATGAACTTTAAAATTTTGATAGAAAACTGTTTTAAAACACAACAAATCTTATTCTGACTTGTACATAGTGGAATTAAAATAAAATGCTAAAAATTTGTATTTATGCAATCATAGCAAATGTTGCAGCTGTCCGTTCATCGTAATGAGAAATTGAAATGAATATGGTAAAATTTTTATTTTCAAAAATATATAAATAAAAACAGTTTTCTGCAAATTCCAAAAATATTATCTGAATTCCTGTTTATTTTCATTCCATCAAGTTCAGCAAAAAGCAGTGGATGGAAATCGACCAAACGTCATTGAAATTAAAACAGAAAAAAAAACGATGGAATAAAAAATATAACTGAAAAAAAAAATTAAACATCTAAAATCTAACACTGCCTAAAATTGCTTAGATATTCCATTTTAAAGTTTCATTTCTTTATTTCAATCTACTTCGTGCTTTCTAACTTGGATTACGAATCAAATAAAGAAAGGCAGCGATTTTTTACTGTTTGCATCTTCAAATTCATCCATAAAAACAAATATGAAAAGCGGGTATTTACAGAGAGAAGAAAACAATGAATATTTTGAAATGAGTTTATAAAAAAAAAACAAAAAAACTTCAAGTTTTGAGAAGATGACAGTATATAAGACAAAGTTAAATTGTATTTGTGCAAGAGTCCGACGACAAAAAATACTTTAAAAAACCAACACGACAGTGAGTGCTGGAAAAACCCTTTGGAGGTTTAAGCCGATTTGAAAATGAAGAATATGCCTTTTAGCAAACGAAAATAACGTCAAATTTAAGCAAAGATATGATAATTATTACAAGAAACTGGCAACCAGTACACCCTCAGATTTTCATTTCTTTTTTCACGCATAAAATTCCGCCTAAACAAGAAATAGTTAAATTTCACGAAAAAAATTTCAGTCGAAAAAATTCAATCGAAAAATTTCAATCGAAAATTTTCAGTTGAAAAATTTAAATCCAAAAATTTAAATCCAAAAATTTCAATCAAATTTGTTTACAACAAATTCAAAAAGTAGGTTAAAATTATTTCAGTTCGTCATTAGAATTTTTAAAGTTTGAAAAAACAAAAACAAAAACAAAAAAAACAAAGGCATTATTTTAGTTTTCATGAATTTGCTTCTTTTTTTAAAAAACTATTTCCAGGAAAAATTATATCGAAACAATTTTTAAAATTTTTTTCCAAATAATGAAATAAATATTTATTATAACAGGCAAAATTAAAGTTAATTTAAAATATCTCTTTCCCCTGGCGAAATCTGTCGTGTTATATTATCCCAATAAAATAAGACATTTGCCACCAAGCAATACGACCATTTTCTTTCTTTCTTTCTTTCTTTCTTTCTTTCTTTCTTTCTTTCTTTCTTTCTTTCTTTCTTTCTTTCTTTCTTTCTTTCTCTCTCTCTCTCTCTCTCTCTCTATATATATATAATATATAAAGTTGACCTCGTTTCGTGAGCTCTCTTTACCCTTTTCTCTTCTCTTTGGGTAACACTGGCAAGTGTTAATCGTTTTTTACATGCGAACAGATTTATGTGTCTTCCTCGCGTCATTTTCTCTTGAACAGTGCCGTTTATGTCCGTCGAGGACAACAAATGTCAACTGGGCGAAATTTGTAAGTGAAATTCGATTCACTGGTGGTGTATATTCGTGGTGAAATAATCTATTATAAACTAAATACCGCCAAACATGAAGTGCAAATAACAGGGGTCCCAGGGAATAACCCCCACACATCATCTTGGTTCATTATGTATCCTATACGTCTATATAGGATTTCGAAAATTTATCAGTTCTTGGGCTTTCATTATTTTCAAACAAAAGCATCATAAAATTTTATCCTTCGGTTAATAATCCTGAATCAACTTTTGGCAAATTACAATAAATAACACATTTTATTGAATGAAAACGTGTAAAATAAAAATAAGTTTAATCCTTAAAGGATAAATTGAGGTTTAATGATGTTTTTAATAAAGTCGACCCATAAATAAACCCTGAATTGTTTTAAGAATTTGGAATTCGTAAACATTTGTTTAATACAAGAAAATAAGTTCGATTTTGACGGCTTTTGGTTGAAAAAGCCATGTCATCAAAATTCATTGCGCATATCAAATCGGGAAGAAAGTCATAATTTAATTAATAAAAATGAAAGTGATAGGTTTTTTTAACAACTTTTAGTAAAGTTTACTAAAATATTACTTATTTTATGACTTAATACGACCATTTTCTTTCTCTCTCTCTCTCTCTCTCTCTCTCTATATATATATATATATATATATATATATATAGTTAACCTTGTTTCGTGAGCTCTCTTTACCATTTTTATTAAATAAATCCCATAAATAAATGAAAATATGATTTTCTCTCAGTGTCTTCTTTAAAGGTTTACCGTTTTTTACGCTTTTTATTTTATGACATTTTTCTGGTCAAGAATTTTGAAAAATAGAACGATTTAAAAATATGAAGAAAAATGAAGAAAATCTCCACTTGCATATTTATTGTGTCGTAATTTTTGAACGATTCTTTGTTTATATCCTGGTTACTTTCATTTATAAAAGTATCTATCTATTTATCTATCTATTTATCTATCTATCTATCTATCTATCTATCTATCTATCTATCTATATCTATCACTTACGTTTACGTATATGTCGTAAGTGTATGTGTTATGTATGTATGTACACATATTTGTTCATATGCATATATATACATATATCAGAAATAAAAGAAAATCGTAAATAATAATTATAATAATATCACCTACGTAAAATTATACAATAATAATTCAATGTATATCAAAAAAGGAATCTCAGTCAATAAAAATGCTCTATCGTTATCTATCTATCTATACATATGACTTACATCTTTACATGTATATATATATATTGTTATAAAGATTAACGACAATATGTATAAAGATTAATGACAAAATGGAAAGGTTTTCGTGTGACGCGTATGAATAAACGCGTGCGTTCTCACGTATACGCACGCGCGTCCGCGCACACTCACACACACGCACACACACACACACACATATATATATATATATATATATATATATATATATATATATATATATATATATATATATATATATACGCTAAAAAAGTTATTTTCCTTTTCCTAAAAGAAATTGCAATCTCATTATTTCATTTTCTTTTCAAGCTCCAAATTCGATACATAGGGGACTAAATCATAAAAATGCCCCACAAAACTTACTAAAAACAAAATTTTACAGTCAAAATATTTATTATTCAGAGAAAGAATTGAAGGATGTTTCATGTATTTTTTTTAAAATCCTTTTTCGAATATTGGATTTTTATTTTTAAATTCTGTTTTTTTTTTTTTTTATATATATATATATATATATATATATATATATATCAACCCGGGACCTTAAATTAGTACGGGAAATTTGACCTTTTTTTCAGTGAAAAACGCATTGATTTGAAAATACTTTCAAAAAAAATATTTTTAGTGAACCTTTTGGGACTTATTAAAAAATGAATGAAATTATTTTTAAAATATTTTTTTTGAAATTATTGTAAAAAAAATTTTTTTTCATCTTTTAACCCACACCTATTTAATTTTATGAAATTTCGAGAAATTCTTTTATGTATTACTTAATATTTATACTAGTTATCAGAAAAAGTCCTCAGAGAATTTTAACCATCAAAATGTTTTTGTCAAATAGGACCCCAAGTTGTAGAAAATCTTCCATGAATTGTAAAATAAAAATGCAATAAAACTAAACCATCTTTTTTAATTAGAAAAATATTTAAATTGTTTTTATGAATAAAATATATTATATGAACACTATTGTCTTAAGAAACATTTTTTCAATAAATAATGAATTTTTAAGAGAATTTTAATTAGAATACTGTATAAAATTTTTAAATCTTTTAAAATTTTGTGATATTGTTATTAAATTAAAATTGTATTTACTAATTATAGATGGAAAAGTTCACTAAAACTCAACAACATTTAAAATTGAAAAAGTGTATTTTAAAAAGAATTTTGAATTTTTTGTTATATACATGTATCGATTTTTTTAAAAATGGATGTCTATATAAGCATTAACAGATAATAAGAGTGATACATATGATAAATAAAAAAATTATGGGTAAATTTCCTCCCTTTTTCTCAACAAGCGTCTTCGTGAGTAAAACTTAAAATCCAATAAAATATTAGATTGCTTAAAATACTTTTTTAAATCTTAAAGATTACTGTGTAGTTAAAAATTATAAAAGGTGTTCATGTATTCGTCGAGTAGCTTATTTCATTTCTGCCCCCCGCTTCTAACTAAAATTTTCCAAGCATCAGGCTGTCAATAAATCACTCAACACGTCAGAAAACACTCACTCTGTATTATAAGAAACGCTTTTCTGTGATATTTTAAACTAAAAGTAATTTCAATTCAAATTATTTAAACATTTAAACCAACTATTTTTCCTTAAATGGCGTTTCAGAAAAGCATATTTTATTTTTGAAAGATTTTTTTTAAGAAAGAGAATTATTTTGTGTTGACAGATGCGTCAATATGAACGAATTTATAGATTTTACTAAGAAGCAGAAAAAAAAAAAAGATTTCAATTAACTTAATTTCGGTTTGAAATACACCAAAGAATTTTATTATTGGAAATATTAAATTCAATCTATTGGCTTAGAATTAAAATTAAAATTAAAGCTTCAAGAAAGATATTTCTCTTTTTAAAACGCATTTAGCGCTTTTTTGGAGTTACTAAATTTTTTTTTTTCTGGCACTAAATAATTAAATAATCCGTAATTTCGGAAAAAGTGTATTTATTTTAGTGTTTTATAACCAAAAATTATGTTTAGAAAGATTTTGTTGCGTCAATGTTCAATGTGGAAAGCTTAAATATCCTGATAATCCGCATTCATAATCGTTGCCGATTACTGGAAAATGAGAATTTAAGCCATCAGGAAGGCTCAAAAGGTTTCTTATGTAAAAATGTTCTGTGGAATTCAGAAATGCCATTCCCAGAAAATTTACTCTGGAAATTTGAACGAAAAAATAAATAATAATTAAATAAAAGAAAAAATAAAGTGAAAACTTTCGAAGTTGTAATGGTAATTAGAAAAATAAATAATAAATTTATTTATTTATATTATTTACATTATTTACATTATTTGAACTGTTATCTTCATCTTCATTGCCATATTCACAACGTTTCGGCCTTTGTACGCCCCGACCTTCTTCAGGTGATTGGAATTTCGAACCGAACCCTTTATTTCGTCCAGCGGGGTAGATTATTCCAATCAGCTGAAGAAGGCTGGGACGTTGTGAATACGGCAATGAAGATGAGGATAACAGTTCGGATAATATAAATAATGTAAATAATCCTAATACCTCATCTCAGAGATATAGACCAATTTATTTATGTAATTTAAAAATATATATTTTCATTTAATTTTATGCGTCGTCAAATTCTTTATTTTATGAATTAAAAATGTAAATTTTGATGTTTTTCCTTTTTTTTTTAGTTTAAACAGAACTTTTTTAATTGAAATCTTGAACTTTTTTGTTCGGAATTCAGTTAAGAAATTTGAAATTTCATTTTGTTGGAGTAAAACAACAACAAAAATGCTGACAGCGTTGATCTTTTAAATGGTTGAATTCTATATTCTGAACTCTCTTCAGAAATTCTTTATTTTTTATTCTTTTCTTTTTGTTTATTAAATAACAATCAGTTATTATACTCCTTCGTAAGGTAAATGCTATTTAAATTCTTGGATATGTATTTTGTCGGAACAGGCATTTTCTCTTGGTCACATAACTGCGCACAAAAATACAAAAGAATTGTTTATTAATTCAAAGGCAAAGTTGTTTGGGCTTTTCGTTAAATAAACAAAGGTTTCCTAAAAAAGTTATTTATTAATTTTCATTTTTTTTTAAATTTTATTGACGGAATAAAATAAAACAATATAAATTAAATAAATAAAAAATAAAATAAACATGACTGCCTTTTTAAAAATTTATATCAATTTTTTTAATTAGATATTAATCTTGAATGATTAATATTCGATTTATGTATTGTAAAATATATCAATATTAAGAATTAATTTTTCCTATTTTCAGGTAACAACAGATAGACTCAAGGTTTTGAATATTTTTAGCTTTTAGTCCCAAATCGAATGAACTAATATAAAATAGTTTATTCCAAAATGGTGTTCTTTCCATCTTAACCATTGCTCATAAAACTCCTAGCTGAGTGAAATCAATCCCCATTTAGGGGCTCCAATGTTGTGTCCTTGTCCCAGATAAATCTGAGCTTAGGAAATATCTAAACTCTCAGCCCAGTTATTTGTATCAGCTGCCTTTCAATGTCTTCTTTCTTTTTATGTACCATGTCCTTTCAGGATGTAGGCGATCATGGCTCTCCACCTCCCTCTATCCCTTGCAGTTCTCAACAAGTTCTTTCCCTCTGCTTCCTCCCCCCAGACTACGTTCTGTCATCCACTTGCTTAAGTCCGCCATGTATGTCACGCGTTGTTTTCTCTTGTCTCTCTTTCCCTCTATTCGACCCGTGAGTATCAGAATCTCCAGGCACTCCTTTCTCTTTATGTGTCCCTGAACTTCATCTGCCTCTTCCTGATATTAAGTATAAGCCTCCTCCTTGTTTGCAACCTCTCTAAGATCTCATCATTGCTCACACGCTCGGTCCATGTTATCATTAGCAACCTTCTGTAGAACCACATCTCTGTCACCTCTGGTCCAATGCCTTACCATTCATAATAATATTTTATAAGCTTAGAACAACACAATCCTGTGAATGGCCATATTGTTACGCTTTAGATTTTCAATTGGGAAGAAATTGATTGCTTGCTTTGAAAAACAATTAAATTCGAAATTCTAATATTTCTCCCTGGATTTAAACTTCGAAATACGGCGAGACGTTCCAGTCATTTTTATTTATTTATTTATTTTTGTTGAATATCCGATGTAAATCGTTTTTTGTAACGAATTTATTTCGTCGCTCATCTTTAAACACATGAACGAATGAAAATAATATTTAAGAAAATAATTCAACTAAGTTTGTTAAAGGTCGTTCATATAAAGAGAATAATCACAAACAAACGATCACATCATTAAAATAAATTCAACAAATTATGACAATGGCATTTTCTTTTTATTTTTCTCCTTAGTAAAATTATTTTGTCTCAATAAACTTTTTGTGTGAAAATGGTGATAGTTTCATAATAAAATAAAGAATAAATGGATTATAAAGTTTACAACATGGCGCATATTGAGCTGGTTTCTTCTTAACAAACTTTTCCTCCATATTTCTTTGGGGGTTTCGAGCAAGAAATGATTAAACTTTAAATAAACATTTGCAACATTTCCGAAGAATTATTTCAAATGCCTCTTTTAGAATGGAATAATGGTTGCAAGGAGAGATGGTTTCTAATAAAAGTGTTTTTTTTTTTTGTTTTGTTTTGTTTTTTATTAAATTAAGACTTTGAATAAAAAATTGAAATTTATTTGTAATATCCTGGTTAGTTGAGAAGGATAAAGTATATATAAAATAACACATTTTAAAAGAGAATCCGTATTTTAAATACAATTTTTACGAATAAAATTTTGAAATTTCTTCCAGTGTAAAATTCATCATGTATATTGAACAATAAAAAAAATATTAAAAAATTAAATTCTTCAGACACACTGGGTTGTAGATTAATATCCTTTCGTTTTTTTTATTATTATTTCATTTAGATTCCTCGACTAGTTTCGGCCAAAATGGCCATCATCGGGAGAAGAAATATTTCTGCTTGCTGGTAGTGATAAACTACAGAAAAATATGTATATATATATATATATATATATATATATATATA